GAAAACAACGCTATTAATATTAATAAGGCGCAACAATCAAATGAAATCCTGGTACACAGGATATTGCAAAAATCTGAAATTCTCTGCAGCCAAAATATTTAAGCTTCTTGCTGTAGAGGCTCTGAGATGAGATTTCTTCTGAGGAGCGGCCTATAAGAATACTTAAGGAACATTTCTGTGGCATGTCACATGAGCAAAGCTAGATTAAAGGAATTAGATAGATTATAGGGCTGTGAAAGGTGTTTCCTGTTGCACATTTGTTGTATAACAAGTTGGATAGTAACCATCGTTTTGTTATCCAATCCAGCAAAACAAGTGTCGTGCAAAAGACAGAGGAGATTTAACAAAGAAGGAATGCTACACCACTGTGAAATGGGATTGGATAAGCAGACACATGAACTGACATTGACTGGATTGACCCACACGGATGAAGCTTTGATTTAGAGTGAATCAGCAGTAAAAAGGACCGGAGGATGAGCAGAAGAGTGAGAGACAAATTGAAAAGGGAAAAGATGGAGGGGAAAAAGGAAAGAGGGACTGAGGAAGGTGAGCAGGAGGACAGACAGAGAGCAGCAGAGACTCACTGCTTGTATTTGTCTGACTGAGCAACTAAGATAAGAGGTTTTTCTGCAGAGGCTTTTTCAACATCTCTCTCCCTCTTTCTTTGTTCATTTTATCCTCCCTAACTCTCTACTCCTCTGGACCCTAAGCTCCTCAACTGCTGCCACTACAAAACAAATAACCACCTAAAAAGTGAATCGTTTAACCTCTTCTTTCATATTCAGCATTTTAACTAGAACCACTGGGTGCTTCCGTTACCTTGAGTCTCAGATCCCATCAGAGTGTAATAAGGTGTTCTGGGATTTAAGAGGCTTTAAAGAACCTTAAAAGGCTATTCTAATTCACAAATATGTACACGAAAGCTAAAATGATCTGTCAGTAAAGTGAGCAGTTAGTAACTAGAGTCCTTTTTTCAAGCAAAATACCAACAATTGACTTTTTCTAGCTCTTCTCTGGAGATTTGCAGCTTTTCTTTACCTTGCATATATTAGATGACACATTTTTTGACCACGACATACATAGCACAAATAATACAACGCTAATGTATATACATTTCTTTTAAATAGTCTTCATTTGTTGAGTAATGATCATCTCCACAGACACATGTATTGTTTCGATATCACTTTTGCCAGATACTTCGACGGGGGGAGTATACACATCGCTATTTGTATCTATGTGCATGTATCTGCTTCTCTGTTTGTATTATTCAGCGTCTACAGTAAGCAATACGCTTCCTGCGTGTGCACACACTCGCACATTACACGAAGGGGAAGTAATGACTCATATTTCACTTCCATTTTGTTAAGTGAACATTCTGAGAAACTTAGGTATCATCAAATGAGGCACTCACCTAACTGAAACACTGTACAGAAACCCATGAGACTTCCCATTGTGAGAACTTTTTTTAAAAAAATATAGCCTCACCTACTTCCCTGTTCTTTCATCTTTTAGTCAAATATATAAGTGAAAAATCAACATTGGGGCTTTTACAGCAGCTTGACACACAGAGCTCCACATAGAGAAAAGTATACACTGCACATTCTGTGGAAGTTCCAGTCCAAAACACACGTGTATTTGTTTCAAGCGGAACAGGTAGCTTTGGATTACCAGGAATGTTGCGTTGGACAAAGGACAAAGTAGGGAGGGACTGTAGAGGCACACTGGAGACTGTGTGGAGGTATGTTCAATGAAACCCTGCTAAGATACACACACAAAAAAAACACCAGGTGAAACAGTGTACGTGCCAGTGTTTACTGTTACAGTTCTGAATGGACTGAATGAGACAAAAATTATAAATATTCAGATAAATATGACAGTGAAGGGTTAAAACCAGCTATTGGTGGTAAAATTTAATGGCTAAGAAATGAGTGCTGCCCAATATGACCTCCTCAAGTGTTTCAATCCAAACGTTTTTGTGTATGTACAGCAGGTCCATTGAACAAGAAGAACTTGAAATACATGCCTCGATTATGAGTGATCAAAGTGCCCTAGGGCATCGTTTGTGCATCATTGTGTGTGCAAATTCAATGATAAATTCCATCTTTAATTACAAAAACAATTCCTGAGAATATGATAGAACAATTTGGCATACAGCATATATGTCTTTGAGTTACCCTGTGAATATATCAAAATGGTACAGAAAAATAAGCATTAGTGTGTTTTGTTATCTCTGTGTCAATGTGCTATCCATCAGTCTAAAGAAACAGGACAGTAAGAAGGAAATAGATGCTTTTCTGTGCTCATTTCACAAAATTCCAAATGTAGGCCAAGCTGTATTACTGCCATATTGAAATGTAATTACGAGAACTGTCACACTAAGTAACAGGTATGTGCGTTAATGAGTTCATTTGCCCTTGTTGTGTCAACCACCTGTTCTGAACTATTTAAGTGTTTGGCAAACACTGCTTCATATCACAACAAAGCAGTTTGCAGAAACTGACAGAAGTCTAATCAAAGTCCAGTGCTCTGTTTTTAACAAATACACAGTCAAGCCCAGCAACCGATGGCAGTAGGGACAGAAACTAATGATAATCATATTTTTACTGATGAATTTGTTATTTTTCATCTTTAAAATCATAGACAGTTGTAAAAATGACCTTCACAATCTCACCACGTCCGCAGTTGGATCTTCAAAAGTCTTGTCTTATCTCACCACCACTCTGAAATCTACCACAATTCACTTTACACTGATATAAAACAGAAAACTAGCAAATGTTTACATATTAAAAGCTGGAACCAGAGAATGTCATAGAAGATAACAGACCTAATCTATCCATTGAAACTAATTAATTTATCATCAAATAAATTGCTGGTTAATTTTCCTGTCAACAGACTAATCATCACAGCATTACAGTCCAATGATTCATCATTTGGGATGGTTTGTGTTTCCCTTGAATTATTGCTATCAGTAATGTTATTACAGATTGCACAAAAAGGAAGCAAGAATCATCTTTAAGGATACGCAAAAAGACGTTGACTTGTGTAGATGCGCAAACACTTAACTCTGTCCAAGTCTTTGTTCAAGTCCAGTTTCACAGCTTCCACAGTGTTGTGTATAGTGTGTTTTATGTCATCAAACTCTTGTCCAAAGAAAAGAAGAAACGGTACCTCATCAGTCTTCTACAAAGTGCATTGTAAGCGAGTGTTTGTCAGCTCACTTGCTGCTGTCCATTGAACATTTCAGAGTGTTGTTTGGCAGACCCTCAGCAGGTGGTGAAGCCGCAGTTTCTTTTCAGCTGCTGCATGAGAACTGTGTGACTCAAAGTTTGCATTTTGTGTTTGCAAATACTCATTTCAACATTTTCTGACTTGAAAATGATGAGACAATAGAGAGCGCCTGCAGGTGTTCATGATAAATTCCAGGTCAAAAATTGTTTTTAAAACTACAGCACATGACCTGAGAAGATGTTGCTGTGTCTGTCTTTGTTTAGCCAACAGATAATTATTTCTTTTCTTCCAGTCTTGATGTGTAAAAAAGAAAAAAAGAGGAGTGACTGCTTTAACTGCTGCAGATTAGCCTCCTTTCATTCAGTCAGCTCAGTACTGCATGTTAATCTAGTTATTCTAGTCCTAGTGTACGCACTGTGCACTGGCAAAGACACTTGGCTGAATGACAATCTTTTTTAAGGAAACACAAACAAATTACTACAAAAAAGCAACTATGTTGAACTGTATGTCCATAAGCAAAAAATATTTTATTTCAAAACTCGTCCAGGAATGTTCTGAGTCCAGGACACTCAACAGTGATTTTCCTGCACAGCTGAAGGAGACTAAATCTCATTATGTAATGTCCAGTCACAGACCAGGAGTATTCAAAACGACTAGTGTCTGACGTCACATGTTGCTATTAACAATGCAAACAAAACTCACCTTACCTTTATGTTTTTGGAGAGATGGACAAATATTAAACGGTACAAAAGGTACAGCAAGTATCTGTTGTATTGTCAACAGCACGTGACTTAAAGGCCAACACTTGCTTATTTCTCAAGATAATGTAAAATATATTTAAACTTTAAAAATCCAAGGACTTACAATGAATAAAAGTGTCCAGTAAACAAATCATACATCTTTAAACATTATATCTGTTCTACAGTGTGTTGTGTGCATTATGAGTCATTGGATTGTAAAACCAATATGTTGTAACATGTTTTTCATGAACTACTGCCAGAATGAACAAGTTGAAACTTGAATTTTACTGGTAATACATACCATACACACCATCAAATACCAACAAGCATTACTGGTAAATTTCTTCAGAATAAAAAAAAGTAAAATCATTTTTTAAAAGACTTTAAACCCACATCATATTCAGGTTTCTGGATATTTGGATCCTGAATCACAACTCTGAAACTGTCTTATTTGTGTGGCAAATAAAATGTCCACATTTACGCTATTCCCTATCCTCTTTCTTTTTTGATTAGTATACACCTGGACATACTTTATCTGTCCTGTTCCCTCCACTTGTCTTTTGATCACTAACCCTCCCTCTCTCTGTGATTCTCTCTTTTTCCAGCTGTCCTGGTTTCCAATTAATCCCATTATCGTCAGAGAGATGTTTAACAGCAGAGGCAACACAAACAGAAGGAGGGAGACAGAGACAGAATGATAGGAAGAGACACCAAAAGCAGATGAAACAGGGCAGTGCGGAGGGATGACACAGACACCAACAGCTGAGCAAGACAGACAGGCAAGCTGTGAGGCAGGGTCAACTACATGCAACACATTCATTCAAACACAAACCAGGGGGACAAACTCTGCACTGCCACTGAACTGACCCCCCTATACTCATCGGTCTTCCCCCAACATTTTCTCTGCTCTCGTTTCACTAAACCCTTGCGTGTCTCTATTGACTACTCACTGTGTGTTGTTCTTTTTTTCCATCAAGAAACCCTCTTATCACCCCCACAGTTCAGCAGGCTGGGTGCAGTCTGGTCTCTTACCCCGTTAACTAGTGAGGGGAGTCCATGGTCAGCAGCCTCCCTCTTTCCAACAGCCAAATCCTCAACCACTGAAGTCATCCACTCGCCCTGTTCACCAGGGCTAAGTCCGTTGTCTGTGCTCTCACGCAGCACACACACAGGTGTTCCCTTCAAATGCAAGACAAGGAGGAAGCTCCGGAATAGTCCAAAGGGTGAGTCCCTGGTAGTGGTATAGTCCAAAGAGAGGCAGAGGAGCGGACCAGGATGTATCGTTCACTTTAAAACACTGCACTGGCTGCCTGGCGTTTCCTACACCAGCAGAGGCTGCAACTGGCTCGCTCTGCCACACACAAACACGAGCACACACTCTGCACCTAACACCCGCACACACTTTTCCTCTCGCTCACTGGTTTGCAGGCTGACTTGCATTCACACAGTGAGAGCTCAGATCAGGCAACAGTTGTTGAATTCATGCCTCCTCCCCCCTCCCCCCTCTTGCTGGTGGTTGCTTAGCAACTGGCTTCTGTGGGCGGGGCTTGCGAGAGTTCTCACATTGCTGCACACTCTGCTCTCAGCTGCCGCCTACTCAAGCTATATTTGCATATCAAGCCCTGCCTGCTTCTGTGTTTGTCTGTGCTATGGAACAGGCCAGCGCCTGTGTTGGCCGTGAAGAGGGGGAGGAAGGTGACTGTTATCACTAAAACTGAAACAGTTTGTCTTTGGTGATGCAGCAGATTTCGTAAGATGGGTCAAACATAAGAGACGTACCGGTTAGTCACAATGGGAAAGATAAAAAGGGGGCGGAATTTAAATAAAGAAAGAGGTGATGGAAAAGTGGCAAAGGGCAGTTGTTCTTTTCACTCAACTAAAACAATCAATGAGCTTAGAAAATCACTTTTAGCCCTATTGTATTTGTCCTGTAAGAAGACAAAAACACAACGATTAGGCTACATGATAACAGCTTAGAGATAAAACGATTACTCAATATTTCAAAAGAAAATTAATGTGCATCTATATTTATAACTTTTATTTTTTTTTTATATATAGCACTTTAAAGAAAAAAAAAATCTTCCTCAGTGCAAATAGTTGTTGGTGGCCTTCTGAGTTATTATTAAACTTATTGTCTGTGGGTTCTGGACTCAGACAAAACAACAATTGTGTTTATGCTGTAACAATATGCCTTTGGCTTTAGAAAATCCAGTGTCAGTGACTTACACATTTGCATTTCATTTGTTGGATCAGAAGTTTTAAGGCTAATAAAATCTCTTATTAAATTCTCTAAAAAAAAAAAAAAAAAAAGCATGGTAGTCATTCTACATATTTCACTGCTTTTCTTGATTTCCTGAAAAGCTTTAGTTACATTCAAGAAACCAAACTTTTACAGACACAGTGTCTGATAATGTTGATATTATAACTGAGAAAATATAATAATAGTAATAATAATAATAATAATAAACTTTATTTCTACAGCACCTTTCAAAACTGGAGTTAACAAGTGCTTCACAGAACATTAAAAGACACAAAACATTAAATAAAACAATAAAATAACTAAAACTTCAGTAAAAAAAAAAAACAAAACAAAACAAAACATTGCAACCTTAGAAGACCAATAATTGAGCATTAGAGCAGGAATAAAAAGTTGTATAAATGCTTGTTTGTACAGGTGACTTTTTAAAAGCTGTATAAACTCAGGAACTGACTGAGCTGTTCTGACAGTCGGCGGCAGCTTGCTCCATAGTTTTGGGGCTAAAAAAAAAAAAAACACAGTTCCCTTAGTTTTGAGCCTTGGATCGTCGGATTTTTAGCAGCAGCTGGGTTCCAGATCTCAGAGGTCGAGGTGCAGAATATGGTGATAAAAGTAGCAATATAAAGACCGTGTAGAGATTTAAAAGTGATCAACAGCATCCTAAACTGAATACTATATTGTATGGGGAGCCAGTGCAATTATGCCAAGACTGGAGTTATGTGTTCCCACCGCTGAGTGTTTATGACGTCTTGCTAGCTGCTGAGTTCTGAACCAACTGTAGACAGGTAACTGTTGAGCTGTTGAGGCAGGTGAATAAAGAGTCACAATAGTCCAGAGAAAATTATTGTGCATCAGCTGCTCAGTTATGTTTCTGTGGAAAATATGTATACCAAAATGTCAAGTCTGCATTTTTATGCAAGGTGATTATTGGTCTAAATTTAGCCAGGATCAATAATGTATGTAATTTTAGAACTGAATGTACAGAAAAATAATTGGAAACTCAAAATTCCCACCAAGTGCTCTAATAAAACAAATCTGCTTTTGCTATATGTCTAAAATTGACATAAAAAAATGATTGACACAATTCTGTAAATATAAGGAAACACTCCATAAGTGGCCTCTCCATAATGTTTCTTTTTCAGCTCTTATCTCAGGTGTGCAGGGAATTTCAGTCATTCTTTCAGCCTCCACTCCATGCTTTTCTCCTGACTTGTATTATTTAAATTTCTTCTGTTCTGTGGGATACAGTGCCAGACTCTCTTATCAGAGTCAAGGATACAGAAACAAATGATAAGTTTTGTTGTATAGGTTCTAGTATCATATGGTCATAGTTTCTCATAAGTGTACAGCCACTATGGTACTGTTCTCAAACTGGAATTGAGGATCACATGGACAAATCAATTGAAGTCTAAAGTTGAGTTCAATGAGCATGATTTAGCCATCACTACAGCTGTGTTCATGTGAAGGTATAACTATTTTATGAGAAGAAGCCAAGATGACCTGTTTTTAGTTGTGCGGCACCATTTTACCCAAATCAACAACTGTCATTATGATTCGCTTTCTCTTAAATTGTCATTGGAGAACTTCCCTGGCTGCCAAACTGTTATTGTCCTACTTAATTTGAAGGACTTGTTCCCCATGCTGTGAATACATAAATCATACATACTACAGCCATCACAACAAATCCCCTCAGTCTCTGTGCTACTTGTATCAAAAACAGATGGATGATAGCTTCTGCATCTGTTTAATGCTTCGTTTGTGCCTTTACTTTTTAATGCCACGGCCTTTCTTCAAACCCGTCTCACACAAACATTAACCTCTACTGTCCATTCAGCAAAGCAATATTGTCAATTTAATGATGATAAAATATTATGTCTGGCTGGGTGTACATACATATCTGCTTCTATGCTTGTGTTTGTGTGGTGTTAGCTAAGGTTTCACCGCTTTGTATTTACTTCCGGTAACTGGACTCAGCAGCCTTTGGCAAGAGCTGATGGCAACTGAGCCAGAACCTAATCCTGCTAAAAATTGCAAGGAAATGTCAGTGAGCCTATTACCTTCTCACCATCTCTCACTTGCTTCCGCTTGTTGACATATTTTCAGTATTTCGAGTGTGAATTTCATGACTCATACTTTGTCTCTCCCTCTTTGTCAGAAAACCATTGCTGCTTGAATCATGATGCTTGATGCAAGTAGTCTTATCCTAGTGGAGTGATGAGGAAAAAGGGAGAGATGGTGAGAAAGAGATATGATCCAAGCTGAGGGAGCCAAATAAAACCTAATTATGTGGAAAGGAATGCACTCTTCCTACTGCCTCCTTTCACTCTCTCTTTTGCCCTCTTTCTCCTTCACTTCTGAAAGATGTTGGCAGTGGTTCAGCCAATGGCCTGTGGCTATTTGTTTATGTGTAATTTGTTAGAGGGTTGGCCCCTTTCCCCCTTTTCAAAGAAGCCATTTACAATTCTATTCATGTCTACCTGTCTCATTCAGCTGGCAACACATAGTTATGGAGCAAGGGTTTGGATTTAACTCCGTGCTTTTACACAGTGTTAACATTGTTATATTAATGCTATTCAGAGAGATCAAGACAAAGGATAACATTATGACATTAGTTTCTGCAGCAGTGTCTAACGGAGTGAAAAGAGGCACAGTATTAAAAGTATGCAGCAAAGAGGAGATGGTGGTTGAGGAATCTGAATAGTACCCCTTCTAGTAGAGTGGAATCATGGGCCAAAGCAAACACATAACTTCACACACAAATGCACCCTTTTGTGCATCCTCACAGAATAGTATTAAAGAAACAGAAACCTAGTAAATGTGCATGTTGCAGAGTTCGGCTGAAACAGCTCTGTGGGGATTCTCAACCAGCTGCTGGGGTTCGCAATGCAGCAAGACGAATGATAGAAGAGGAGGGTGGGGTAGAGATGGATCAAGCGAGAGCAGTGGAGGCTCCACAGAACAACATAGGAAAAGGAGAGCAGAGGAGGCTTGACAAGAAATAAACGAGACAGGGATACTCTGTAGGGGGGCACTGGGTTGGTAGGCTGCTTATTTGAGCCAAGTGCTGTGAATGCCAATAACTCTACTGCTACTTCTGGATACACAGAGCTTTGGGAGCTTGAGAAAGCCATACAAGTCCACATGTGCAACTTCACACTGTTATACACATGTATGCACGTAAAGCTTTCTTTTGATGTAAAATGCTATTACAGAACATTAGGCCAGCAACAACCATTAATTGCTTCGTTCCACCAGCCCTGGGTGTTCGATACTGTATGCCGCAGCTGCTTCTCCAATCTGGTGATTTCCTTTAGAGCTACTGCCCCTGATAATTTCTATAACCACAGTCTGAACCACTGCACGAACTGATGAAGCCACTGAACTGTGCCACATTCTCAGAGTTTTTAATAGTATATCACTTTTGTCATAATTGACAACTACACATAATTCTAAATTCCGCATCTTGATACAATAATTATCCTCTAGCATTGTACAGGATTAGGGTTTGGAGGAGTATGTTAGTCTGAACTAAAGATTTGACAACATGCAAGCACTCATTGCAATTTGGTGAGATTCACTATAGTGACAATCCTGGCAGTGAAAGCAGTGAGAAGAAGGGGTCAGGCAGAGTGTAAGTGAACAAGTCACTGAGTGAGCAACCGAGAGCAAGCTGAAATCTGCAGTATAATTTCTGCTTCTATCTTGAGTTCACCAGACTTAATAGAAAAAGTGAAACCAAGAATAACTCTTTCGCTACATATGATTGAAAAATGTTAAATACGAATCTGACAAGTGAGACTGACACGTAAAGAAAAGGGTGAAAATGATGGAGCAGAGAAATACATCTCTGCAATATGACATTTCAGTTTAGTTACACCACATCTCTACACACAGATACATTGTAACTTGCTATGCTGAGTATTCATTCACAGTTTTTACAATTAATGAAAGTCTTTTCTCTTTAAAAAGCTTTCCAGCAAACGTTAACATCTACTGTTTTCCACTCGTCTATGGTAGTAAATTGATGTTTAAGTTTTTGGATTGTTAGTTAGACAAACTGTAACATGAAGATTCTTGGAAGCT